GCCCCAACTCCCTGTGCTCCGGCCCCCTTCCGGTTTTCACAGTGAGGTTACTGTCTGTGTGTGTGTGTCTGTGTCCTTCAGTTTCTTTCTCTCTTGTAGGAAAGTTCAGACATTCATTTCCTTAGCGACAGAAAATTTTACATTAGTTCTGATTCTCACCTCAGCAACAGGGCAAGATCTCCGCTGTCATGGAAACGCTAACAAACCTGTCAGTTAAGTCAGTTGCTAGGCAACGAGGAAGAACAGGACAGGCTAACACTGTGCCCGGTGTTTAAACATGACATTTTCCAATCTGATTTAACCATGTTGTACACGCCAAAACCCTCTCACACAGTAAAACAGTATTAAAAACACAGGCATTGTTTACCGCCCCCCCCCACTCTCACCAACACAGACTGCGTCTCCAGACTACTTTTCACAGTAATAGAGGTTCCCCAGTAGTGGAGTCTCCTTAGATTGACTAAAAGAACGCACTTTAACTAGGGGGAGCGTTTCATGATTATGTTTCGCGCCTCCTGCTGTAAGACCTGTATGGCTCCCCGCCAGCAGGACGATGCCATGACCTCTGCCCATCTTGCCTGGGCTTGAAGCATTTGAGGGAGGGCCTCTCGGAGAACCCCTTCATGAATTGTGGCGTACGGTGAAGTAGGCTGGCCGAGATGGAACAACCCCCCCCCTCGGGGCAGTTGAATCTCGCCCATCCCACCTTCTTCAAACGGCGTCCACATCTGCTGACAGCCGAGCTCGCTCAGATGAAGTCACACACGCCTGCATACAGGGCAAGTGACCACGCTTTGTTGTCTGGAGTGCTGTGTCATTCTACAAGGACTGTCTCAACTTCTGGGGCAGAGGTGTGCCTGTTTGCCTCACCGAGCACATTCACCAGCTAGCGCAGTGTTAACGTGGCGACCCCTCACAAAATGAGTGTGGTTCCCCCCGCTGAGCTCCTCTGCGTGAGCTGTATGAGGTCGGCACTAAGGATCCCACGTGACTTTTTTGGTGTCAGTCATTCAGTGTGAATCGGTAAGGAATGAATTAAACAAAGGTTACGTATGATTTTATGAATCCTGGATGTTCCTCGGGAATTCGTGAATTAAACTTGTGAGTAGATTCAGTGGGACTGATGTCAGGATCACACCGCAACTGTATTACTACTTTAGGTAATTTTGGAGGCATATTAAGCGTAGTTCAAAACATTTCTCAACGTTTTTTAGTTTTATCTACTTTTGAACCCGGTCGAGTGCAAACCTCAGTGCAGCATATTGATGGATCTCCCTCACTCTCAATCATTACCAGTGCTGCTGCAATACAGTTCAAGATATTTATTTATCGTAACAATAGTGTTAGAAATGCAAACGAGTGGCTCAAAACAATAAATAATAAAGCAATTTTAACAAATATTCTTAACTTGCCTATTAGCAAAATAACAAAAGAAAATACGGGAAGCTTAGCGACCTCCCTCACAGAAAACAGGAGAAAACTAAGTTAACAGAAAGGGCTTTTTACAGCATCTAGTCAATTGCCAATGAACAAAACACAGAAAGCACCACCCTCATGTTCACGTTCATTATCAGATCTTATGAGACCCCGAATCATTAAAATATTCACTTAAAAGCAAATCGGCAGTGGCTCACAAACACACATATCAACACACAGTAGTATTCCAGATGGAGGTAGTGTGTGTTCTATCGTTGACCTCCTATAGTGTCTAACAGGCATGGTAATAACAGACAAACAGGAAGAGGACCCTCGTAAATATAGAGATCAAACACACACACACACACACTTCTCTCTCTCACTTCTCACTTTCTCTCGCCAGCAGTGAGCTCATTAAAATGTGCAAGGCGACCGCTCTCCTCTTCCTCCCCTCTCATCTCTCCCTCCATCCCAACCGCTCTTATTTCATTCACAATATTCCTCTTTCCTCCAATACTAAATAGCCAAGCTTCTCTCTACCCGAGTCATGTGACTATTTGCTTTACTCTTTTACCCTTGCGGCCTTTTATTGATCCCGCCGACAACACATAGCTCAAAATACTGCTTCAGTTGCACTCATTGCCATGCACGGTGTCAACCTGAAGCCTGTGTGTGTGTGTGTGTGTGTGTTTGGGTTAGCAAGGCTCTGCTTTAATGAATGGTTGCTGGGTAGAACAGGAGGCGTGAGGGAGGAATTTGTTAATTATGAATGGAACACTTGTCTCTGGATGTGGACAACACACAGTGCATGTGTATGTGTGTGTGTTGTTATGTGTGTGTCCATATGGTTTGGCATTTGTGAGTGTATAGCCATGTGGTAACATACGTATGTGAGGATATGTCTCATGACAGATTGGCTGGTGGGGAAGTGACATTAGTTACATAAAAGGGCCTCGGGAGTAAGGAATTCTGAATATTTCAGAACCAGGGTAGGACTCATTGTTAGAATCTAATGTACGAGATAATGCAACTTTACCCATCACACTGCATATAAAATGTTACCCTTTACCACCCTGTCATTTAATTTAGCTTCATATTAGTTCACATTTTTTCTTTTTTTTATGCAAAAATCCTAAATTTGCCTCAAAGGGCTTTACTTTAAACATACCACATCCTCTGTCCTTGGATCAGGGAGAGAAAGTAAGAAACTTTAGGGAGAGCGACAGAGGAGGAAGCCGTGAAGTTATGTGTACAGAACGGACAACATAACAGAGTTACTACACATTCCATAATATAACAGATAATTATTCATAAAAGGAAGCAGGAAACAGAACTATGATGGAACTATTTACTAGCACTTGTAATAACAGCAGCATCGAACATGATATGATAAGACGCTTTTATGGCATTAATAGTAATGTAAATGTGACTAATAATAATACTGATAGTACCAGTGGGAGTCAGGCAGCACCAAGGACCAGATTTCACCACGATCCACGGAAACCTGTTAGGAGAGAAAAACATGAGCCTGCCCTAAATATAAACCTGAACCAGGCCTAACTATAAACCTGAACCAGCCCTAAATATAAACATGAACCAACCCTAACTATAAACCTGAACCAGCCCTAGCTATAAACCTGAACCAGCCCTAACTATAAACCTGAGCCTGCTCTAAATATAAACCTGAACCAGCCCTAACTCTAAACCTGAACCAGCCCTAACTATAAACCTGAGCCTGCCCTAAATATAAACCTGAACCAGCCTTAAATAAAAACTTGAACCACCCCTAACTATAAACTTGAACCAGCCCTAACTATAAACCTGAACCAGTCTCAACTATAAACCTAAACCAGCCCTAAATATAAACGTGACCCACCCACATCTGGCTACAATTTCATACTATAACTTAAACTGGAACATAAAGTTAGAAATCCCCCACTTTTTGTTCTGGCTGCACTTTGACTGGAGTGTCAAAAGACAGCAGCTACCACAGCTTTCCATCGATATCACATGGTAGCTCACCGTAGGCAATACCTAACCTCAGTATGCTAACCCAGTATATAGTATTAGCATATCATGTTAACATGCAAACATTTGCTTATCAGGAGACAGAGTTGACACACATACAGGTCCTTCACCGAGCCTACTCCAAGGTTTTCATCTTTGGAGCAGGAATATATAGTTGAAAGATAAACATGCTACAACAGGGTGGGTCTCCGTACAAACCCGTGTGCTGGTTGTCGACCTCGGATGTAGATCTTTGGCACCACAAGATTATAAACATCGACGCACAAACATCTTGATTATCAGATGACCCAGAACACCATGTGCCTCTATGTGAAAGAGCACAGACTATCTGTTGTACTAAGGTAGAACATTATTGCAGTTTTTCCAACATAAAATGATCGACAATTCCTTCTTGAATTGACCGGATAGTTTTCTCAAACCAAAACAGTGAACCTCATGGTGGCGCCTCTAGTGCCAAGAGATATCTCAGTACAATGTAATTGCCAGTCAGTCGGTTTAAAGGTGGTGGACTGACCAAGCAGTCTACGTTACCTATCGCTAGCATGTTATTATTGTGACCTCAAATCTGTGTGCATGTTTTGTGTGGTGAACTCAAAAAAGGTAAATAAGTCAGAACTCAATAACTTTGCAATTATGAAAATTGATATTGTGTAAAAAACACAAAATTGATTGAAATTGGTACTGAAATAGTTAGCAGAATAATTTTGATGGAATCATTATTTTGTATTATTCTGTCTCATTTGTCTCACTATGAGTGCTTTTTAAGCACATTTTCAATGAATTAATCTAGGGATTGACATTTTCCAATAATACCGCCCTCCCCCCGCTCTCTGCATTTTCCTGTGTAAACCCATCTAAGCCCTTATGATAAACAGTGTCTGTCGAGGAAATCCCATTTGGGTGTACATTTCCGTGTCAGATCATATTCACGCTGCACTACTATACTATATTAACCACACTTCTGCTGGAAAGCCTTTTAATACATGGCGTAAAACCAAAGTTTTAATCCCATGTTTTCTTGTCAGCTCTCCACCTGTACTGGTGTGGCGGCAGCAGCGAGCACCTTGTTTGGAAGTTAGGGGTTGCTGCCATCAGTTAAACTGACTTTAACTCTGGGGGTCAGCGTTTTCCACATGGACCTACTCTCCCTTAAAATAGACTGGTGTTTACAGTTGCAGGTTAGCCGCTCGCAAAACTGGGTCCCTGAGCCCTTGGCTCTGGGACAAACACACACTCACGAGAGACGCTACTTTATTTGGGCGAAGCAGAGAGTGTCGGAACCACCTACGAGAGGCAAATCAGGGTCTTGTGTAAACACTGGTTGAAGGTAAAAGGAGACAAAAACCTGGGCTCTGTTTGAGAATACAATGCTTTTTATCAGCATTTACATAACACAGCCCACTAATAGCTGCAATGTAAATATTAATCACAGCTGTGTGTGTTTCTGTGGAGCACAAAGGGCTGGTAAATGTGCAATAAGCTCCTCTGGTGACATCTTTGTGAATGTTTGTGTGTGTGTGTTTCATCATATGAACCTGACTGCTTTGTATCTCCAGGGGCAACCAGAGACATCGGTTCAGCTCTGACCAGGATGTGCATGAGGCATCGCAGCATTGAGGCCAAACTCCGCCAGTTCACCAAGTAAGATGCACCTCTTTGCCTCCTGTCACTCTCCTGTGTTTGGTCGACCTTACTCTGTTGCCCATCGTTTTTTTATCCAGTAGTCAAAACCTGGGCTCGTCTTTAGTGTGATGTTGTGAAACATACTCGTTTAAGGCTTCTTCTCAGCTGCATGGAGTCCATTTGAGTCCATTGTGTTGTGTGTACATATTGGCATGCCCGTAAATGGATACAACTGTTGGTACACAACACACTGCCCTCTGGAACCTCACCGAGAGCCTTCAACCTTTTTGCCTTTGCCTTCCTTCTCCACACTCCTCTCGTGACTTTTCTACGGCACCAGCTATTACATTAATGGTGATTATAATGATGATGATCTACGAACATGGTAATTACAGGGCTCCGTTTGAATGAGTCAATGTAAAAGCTCAAAGGGCATCTGTGTGTTTGTGTATATGTGCACACTTTCCAATCATCCTACATTTATTTGCAATTGTATCACGTAAGTATGCGTATGTGTGTATAAGGGACGTGTTCCGGAAATTACAAAGTGGAGCGACATGTGGAGGGAAGTTATATGTAAATATTTAATTCCTGTATTTGATTGGGGCTTGGGGGTCGGGACATGGGGGTCCTTACTGTTTACACAAGTCAATGTCTTCTCAACCAAGAGTTTTGAAGGAGACAAAGCGGTTACTATTGTCGTTGCATCTAAGCGGTCTTATGTGGCGTGTCCTTCTCTTAAATCTCTCCCGCAGTGCTTTGATGGAGAGTCTGATCAATCCTCTCCAGGACAAGATTGAGGACTGGAAGAAGACGGCTAACCAGCTGGATAAGGACCATGCCAAAGGTACATGCACACTCAGCCTATGGTGATAATTGGGAAGTTCTAACCACACATCATCCCAGCTGAAGTTTCTCAAAAATAGTACCAACTTAACAAGACGCTGTAGCTCCACACATCTAGTTTAGTTTAAACCTTTAACTGTGTTAATTGACCTGGAACAACCGCGTAGCTTAATTCTAAGAAAGTGATAACCAAAAACGCATCGCATGTCACTGACACAATGATATTTTGGACAGAAAAATCCAGCTGAGAGGCAGAGCCTTCTAATACTACAGGTATTGTTTCAACAATGACCATTACATGGTCACATTTTGTTGCATGAGACAAACAAATACAAAATAATAATAATACGCTCGAGATAAGTGAACGTCTAACTCCTCCCCCACCAAGTTCAAGGAAAAGCCAGCGATTTTTCAATAATGCTGCAGACAAACAAACCAACGAACGATGATCATTGAGAGCCTGAAGATAACTCATTGATAGGGCAGTTCCCCATCACATGTGCAAATTAGATTAGGTTGATGACACCAGTTGATAAGATAAGTGCATCTATTCAACACTTAAAGGTGATTTTGTACAGTTTATGACATGTCATGCTTGTCTCAGATCTATTATGCCTCACTGACACACAGATATTGTTCACAGCTGACTGTTATCAGTAGGTTTCATTATTCTTCCCCTATCAGCGCTGGAACTGTCAGTGAGCTCTTGGTAGCTTGAGCATTTCTATTCATGATTATTAGAAATGTCAGAAAGAGAGCTTTACATTCCTGTAACTAAAGCCGCGCTGCTCTTCCCGTTGCCAGAATACAAGAGGTCACGCCACGAGATCAAGAAAAAGTCATCCGACACCATGAAACTACAGAAGAAGGCTCGTAAAGGTAACCGCCAGCAGCCGGGCTCGGTCACAAAAACGTCACATTGCAGAGGTCAAAGACAAAGTCAATTCTAATGGTACCAGTTGTGTTTCTGTGTAGTTCATTCTGATCACCGCTGCTGGTAAATACGTGGGAACAGCAACAACTGTGCTCGTTGGGCTACAATTAGCCCAGATGTTGATTTGTGATCTACATCTGGTTTGGAATGGTGATCATCAGAAAAGGGTGATTTTATTTGGTGCCTACACACACCCACACACAAACAGACACAAATATGTGAGACATTCCCTGAGGTAAAAAACCAAAGGCTTTAAACAGGCCAGGGCCAAAGAGCTTAGTAGGCTTACAGCACCATCGTGTGGAGCTCAAGGCTTTTGCAGCTCTCTTTTTCATTTGTCCTGAAACGCTTCACTCACCAATAATTAGCGCCCTCTCTGCAGAGCAGCATCCGCTCAGTTGCCGGGCAGATGGATGCATAAATGCAAGACTTCTGTAAATTCCTCAAAAAATATATACATATTTGATTGATGTTACAGACCGACTGCAACTCTGAGTGCCAATTATGTACTGTAATTATTAACGAAATGTTATTAATGTTACATACTTGGTAAAAGTGAAAGTGTCGCCTACGCTTGCCAGTGTGTGGTCGACCCCCCTGCGCTGATGCATGGTGGTGTTTTCGTTGGATTTGTTCTTGCTGTTTTGCTCTAACCTGTGGCAACGTGGCTGTCTTGTGATGGCTTCCTTGTACTAACCTTAACAACGAGTTCTGCTATGTCTCCCTCCCTCTCTCTCTCTCTCTCTCTTTTCTTATTTTGCTTCCTTTTCGCTGTGCCCCCCTTCTCCCTGGTTTCTCCCTCCCTGTGGTATTTGACCCCCCTGTAATAGAGATCCAGGGTAAGTATCAGCTTATTGCTCTGCAGCTCCTCCTGCTCCTGTTTTACTCACACCGTCACCCTTCTCCTGCAGATGACCACGCATGCATGTGTAGTGGAGCTCAGCGCATGCGCCGATGGCTTTTTACTACGTGTGTGATACCCAGTGATCAGATGTCAGGGAAGTGTTTTATAACGTATGGAATAATACCGACGGGATAAACCCACCAAGGGGCCCCTAAAGACACTAGGTATTATAATGATAAAGCACATCCTGAACCAACTTAATCACCTTTAACGCTAGATGTTATCCCAGAATCAGGTAATTATGTTATCTTAAGTTCCCTGCTGTTTTAGTTGAACCCTTAAACACACAAGAATAAATGACTCTTTGTTTGGTTCAGTACAGCTGGGTTTACCCTAAATAGCTGAATAGTGTGAGTGCTTTTTTATCAAGAAAACACAGTTTTCCTGTTTGGCCTCAGCCTTACAGCCCGTCTCTTAATGGTCCCATGATGGATGAGCCTTAGGGGACCACGAGATACATCCCTGGGGTACCAGCATAGCGGACGAACATCCTCCCTCTGTTTACAGTCTGATCAGCCATTTGAGATGAGAGGCTGCAGTGTGCGACGGGGTTGTTCACTCGACCAGCCGCAGGTTGTTTAAGCTAAAGCCGACTAAAAAAGGGAAACCATCAGCCCGCTCATACGCAATTTGTCTGTAATACTCTGACTACAAGCATAAAGCAGGCGGCCTAAGAGCCCATGATGTGGCCCTTTGGCCTCCAGACGCTACCAGATTAATTCAGCCTCGTTTTGTGTCGCTCATACTTATCTACAGACTAGTTTTAGCTTTAGTATGACAATAGCAGCTTCGCTGGGAAACTGTGGACCAGCTGTGCGCTGCAGGCGTACAGTGATTGGGACCTCGACCTTACGTAGTCCGTGTCTGGCACGATGAAAGAAATATCTATAAGCTTTTACATTGTAAAAGCTCTGTAAATGAGTCTCATTATAACTGACAAGCTTATTTAATAGATATCAACACAGTGTGGTTTTTTATACATTAGATACCATGACTTTTTTTTTAAACCAGATGCGACGCGGCACTTCCTAAAGACGGTTCTGTAGCGCCCCCCGACTCCTGCATGACTTCTGCAATGAGCTTTGTAGTGACTCTGCATTCTTCCTGTTACTGCAGACTACGCTGCTGACTTGTGTGCATGCTGTATCACAACTTATATCATTTGCTTTCCATCCATTGTTTGATAGGTTCTTCTGTTAACAGTAGAACAGTAGCCTGGAGAGTTTTGTATGCCACCCATGTGCACCCATGTGCACCCATGTCTCCCCTTTTGTCATCTAGTGGAGTCCAGGTTTAGGGCGGATATACTTTATTTGTGTTCTGGCTCTGTACTGTTATTACCTTGTTTTACGCGTGGCTCAGTGACAGGAAGGGGAATCCGCACACACTCTCACTCATTGTCATCAAACTTTTACACTCACATTGAGCGCCAACAGAATCATGTAGTTACGGATAGGTGAGCGTCCACACGACTGAGCTGTCGTATAGGTTCTTCAAAAATGTTTACATATATATTTATATATGCCTACATACACACTTTATAAATATTTTATTAGGTAAACAACAGCCTCCTGGTTGAAAGTGTGAATGTGTTTGTCACTTCTCACCTTGTGTTTTTCAGTCTACATCATAATACCTCCAGAGCGTTTATTCATAGCGTCTGTTATTAATTCAAGGGGGGATCACGGAGGAGCTAAAGTGGAAAAACTCAGTGTGTCTCGTACAAATGGTAAACGATGTCAGTATGAGATGCTGGTATGAGACAAAAGGGCATTTGACACCCTGGACAGAAACATTACGGCCTATGTGACAACGCACTGTTGATAAAGGATTACACGTTCAGCGCCGTGAGAATGAGTAGGAAGGGAGCTTTGCCCTGAGCTGGAATATGAGGGTGAGGGATACTGCTCTGATGATGAGCAGTGTGTGTGGAAAGGTATGTGTGTAGGTAGGAGACACCCCTGCGTGCGCACACACAGAGACAACCCGGGGACGAGGGAGACGATAGTAGTGGGACAGCAGTTGTGTCATTAGTGTGGCTGCTGCCTGTATGATGACGAATGATACACAGGTAATATTCAAACGGGTACCGAGCCGTAACACTAAACAAAGCATTGCTGCTGACTTGCGTCTCCCTCATTCTCAACTGCATAGTGCATGCCAGTGGTTTGATGAAGCAGTGCATTATGGGAAGCCGGGGCGGGTGGAGCGATACATTTCATGTTCTCTGAAGCACTTTTTCTCTCTTTCACTTACACATTGTGCACCTCCATCTTTCTCCACCACTCCTCTTCCCTTGATACTTAAGCACCATCCCCTCTTCTCCCTCACTTCTTTCGCAAATGTGTTTTCTCTCACCCATCGCTCCCCCCTCTCCCCCAACCCAGGGCGAGTAGACCTGCAGCCTCAGGTGGACAGCGCCATGCAGGACGTGACGGACATGTGTCTGCTGATGGAGGAGACGGAGAAGCAGGCGGTGCGCCGAGCCCTCGTGGAGGAGAGGGGTCGCTTCTGCACCGTCATCGGCTTCCTGCAGCCGGTCGTGGTGAGGAAGCCGCTTTCTGCAGTGTTGACCACATAATGTGGTCTATATTATAAGACTGTGTGTATAGTTGAGCAATATGACGGAAATAGATATCACGATGCCAATGAGAATATTTATTTGATATCATATAGAATCATATCACACACATACTATATATATATATATATATAATATATGTATATATATATATATTATATATATGTTATTTATATTATTTATATATATTATATATATACATATATATATAGATATTATATTTATATTATTTTTATATATATTATTTAATCACAATTAATTTATGTCATAATGTCATAATTAACTCAAAATGAATCACAAATTTGTATCTATTCTAAATCATTTTTGTTTTCATTTCACTGCTCTATCAACATGGAAAAGCTTTATGCAAATGTTTTATTTTATTGAAAAACAACGTTGCCATACAGGGCAAGTGCACAGTTCAGGTAAAGAGTTGAGGTTTTGTATGTACTTGGAAATTATTTGCCTGAAAAAAATGATTTACATATTGATGTAAATTAATTTAATATACGATCATATGTTGGTTGCTGGTGGGAGTTTTTACTATAAGATGAAGGAGGGGTGCTGGATTTGTTCCATCCTCGTTGTGTTATCAAATTGACGTTTAGTAAGAGACAGAAGACACCCACAGACTACAGCGCTACGATTGGTGTTCGGACTTTGATTGGAGGACAGCGATGTCAGCGGAATAAGAGTCATTGCTTTTGCTTTTGTTAGAACGGAGAGATCGCCATGCTGGGAGAGATCACCCACCTCCAGGCCATCATTGATGACCTCACCGTGCTGACGACAGATCCCCACAAACTGCCCCCAGCTAGTGAACAGGTGAAACACACACACACACACACACACACACACACGCAGGAACACAGACAATAATATGACAAGGATCAAACTCTTTCTCTCTCAGGTGATTAAGGATCTCAAGGGGTCCGATTACAGCTGGTCCTATCAGACCCCTCCTTCGTCCCCGAGCAGCTCTGGCTCTCGCAAGAGCAGCATGTGCAGGTGCTCACACACGCGCGCGCACACACACACACACACACACACACACACACACACACACACACACACACAGATATGACTGACACCTGACGCCCGGGGATTTTGATCTAAGAAAGAGGAGCCTTCACAGATGTTTTGTGCTTCACTTGTGCAGTGTATCTGTGTGTCTGTTTGTTGGTCTCTGTCTGTCTGTCCACTGTTACTGTCAAGTCCTCATTCACAAACAAATGGGATTCTCTACATGTACAGCTGCTCTATGAATAACAGAATGAATCCCACTAGAATCATAACCGAGCAGTGCATTTCTATATTTTTTTTTACGAGGAAGAATTTGGCCTTCAGGCAACGCTCTACAGCATGCAAGATCACATGTGTTAAATGTGTGTGTGTGTGTGTGTGCGCCCTGGATCATCGTAAGCTTACACGCTCTCTGTCTCCCCCCTCCTCCCCTTCCTTCCTCTACCCCATCTTCCTTCATCATATCCGTCACTCTGTGTTCTTGGTTACTTCGCCACTTTGTCTTTTATTTTTTTTATATTTTGCTTCTCGTTTGTGTGCAATCCTGTGATTGATTGATTGATCCGTCCCCCGTCTCTCGGTCATGTGGTTTGCCCTCTTTCTCTCGGTTCTATTTGGTCACATGGTTTCCCTTTCTCCTGGTTTGCGCTTTTCTAACCGTGACTTTGATGCGTCTGCAACAACTTGCTGTGACCTGCCTCTGAACCTCACCCCATCACGTAAACCAATCACATAACACCCCGCCCCCCCTCCCTCCGCCCCCATTGCATTCTGCAACCATCAATTTCATCGTCTTCGCCAAAAACCAACCGCTCCTATCTTACACATTTTCTGTCAACCTCCTCCTCCTAAATGGAACCAACTGTAACCGTGCTCCATCCCCCTAAATACTGATGTCAATCGTCACCTTCATCCTCCCCTCATCACTCCTCAACCCCCACCCATCCCTCCCTACCCCTCCTCTCCCGCTCTTCTCCACCTTCCTCCTCCTGCAGCAGCGTCAACAGTGCCCACAGCAGCGCCTCCCGTTCATCGGGGGGAGGCGGTGTTGGTGGTGTTGGTGGAGGCTCGCAGCCCCACTCACCCACCTCTTCCTCCTCCTCCTCCTCCTATCGCTACCGCAGCAGCCTGCCGCATCAGCCTCTGCCACCGGGGGGCATCGCCGCCCACCGCCTCAGCAGTGTCTCCTCCCACGATTCTGGCTTTGTGTCCCAGGATGTCAACATCTACTCCAAGCCCCCCTCGCCGATGCCCTCGAGACATCACCAGCCAGGTCAGTAGCTGCATGCTCTGGATGTTTAGAAAAAAATGCTCACACACACGTTACCTTTTTCTCATGTGTGTGTTTTTTTCGTTCTCCCGCTGTAGAAGTCATCCAGTTCGGCGTCATCAGAGGCCTCAGAAACATGCCAGTCAGTCAGTGAATGCAGCTCCCCCACCACTGTAAGTGCTCTCATTCCCACGCGGCCTGCCACTCAAACCGGATGAAAAGGTTAAAAGCAATGAAAGTGTTGCACAAATAGAAGTACAGCTACCTTCTAGTATCGCTTCATCTAATTCCATTTTATTGTCCTTTTTATAACAGAGGCAAATAAATGAACAATGTCTTAATATGACATTGATAATTTATGGATTAAAAGAGTCTGCACGCCGTATGGGTTGTTATTTCCATTACGAATACTACAAATAATACAGCTAAAGAAGAGGATGACTGTGAAATTCAGGGTTTATTACACAGAAATTGAGCAAAAATAACACGAGCAAACTGTGCACATGATGCCCGTACTGATACTAATCAAAGTCCAGTGTCTCCTAAACTCCATAACTATTTAATCATGTCTGTGTTGTTGGACATGGCCGACAGTGGCGGCAGTGTGTGTTGGTTTGAGGGAATTGTAATTTTGGAAGTTTAACCTCCGCTCCTACAATACGACTCTTAAAGATACCCATAATGCTTCATCCAACGTTAAAGCATGAAATCATGCATTCTATTATGTCAGCAGTTCAATTTATAGAGTGGTTTTTATCTTACAAACAAATGTAGTTTTTCCTATTTTCCACCAGTTGAAGTCCTTTTGTTTTGCATGTGTGGTTGATAGATGCTCTTCTACTGATTCCCTCTGCTGCCATATTATGGTGCACTGTGTTGTTTGATGTGAATAATATGGTAAATATAAACAGTGGCAGTAAGTGAACCAACAGGCACTTGAAGGATGCTCATAATTAAGACTGACGTTGGGTCAAAGATTTGAGTAAAAAGAATGTAATGACATCATTTCATGATATTTTTGTCCGTTAAAGATATCAGTACACATTTTGTTAAGTGAGGCGCAAGGTTACGTTTAGACTGTGTGGCTTGTGTTCCAACTCAACCAAGGAATTTTGTTTGTGCAACAAAGGTAATTGAGTTATTTGCGTTGATGTTGAAGCCCCACAATGTGAAGTAGAGGATCTTTATCCTTCATCCGTCAGTCTCCATTAAAAGTCAGAAGCCTTGGAGGATCGGAGATAACTGCCATCTGTTTGGCACCAAGTGTACTCATCAACCCAAATTGGTCTCTTAGTGATTTCAGAAATCCATTAAAACAGCTTGCAGAACTTTACCAACAACTTTTAACATTTCTATTTTCTTTCAAGACTTTTTTTTCTGGTAGAGGAACTTACACTTTTGGTAAAAATGAAAAAGGGAATTATTGTTCAAACAACTGAGCATTGTCGTAATTTTAAAAACATTTATGGGTCGAAATACGCCACACTCGCGGTTGAAAATGATGTGGTACGTGCACCAAAAGTAGCTGGAGATCGATTTTTTTAAAACAATGGGAGACATTTGGATATTAACCAAGCAGAAGGTAGCAGCTCTCTGTGGCCTGAATGGCTCTCCAGCAGAGTTCTCTTAAATAACTAAACAATAACTAAAAAACATACCTCAGACATGAGGTTTATGTTGAATCAATGTATTTCCATGCTTTCTCCACAAACGGTATCTAAATGCATTAGACTCAAAGGACAGTGATTTGATGCGAAGTGGAACCCTTCTGTACCTTCTCGTGTTTCGTATATTGCAGCATTTTGGTGGCTCACTGTGGGTCGGAGGGTCACTGGCAAATCGCCAACACTTAGCATATATCTTTCAAGATTCACAACCTTCTGCATCCTCCCCGCTCAGCAACCCGGATCGGGTCAACAGAAACAGCAGTGCACTCAGGTCCAAAATCACAGATTCCCCTTATTTATGCTTCGGAGCTTGTCTCTTCCCTTTTTTATTATGCATCCTTTGACCAGGACGCACATCTGTCTGCAACATGAATATAATTTAAATGATGCTCGGGAGGCAGAGTAAATATTCAAGTCGGATGTTTTAGGCAGCATTTGTCATCCTCAACAGCTTGCACGTATGGGTGCCTTACCTTTCGGTTGATTGACGCCCTGTAGAGCCATCTGATGGTCTGTGATACATCTCCATTTTCAGTGGAGCGCATCAAGGAGATGGATTGTGTGCACTGGTTACCTTCATTAAATAAAGCACCAGGAGGACAAAACAACAATGCAAACTCTCTCAACTTCTCCTCTGCTCTTGAAACTGGTCCATGACATCTGGGTGTGTGAAGTTCTGTCCTCCGAACACAGATGAAACAGCTCATACGGGTTTCAACAGCTGCCGTGTCTTTGTGTCCGTGTGGAAATGGCATCTGCCTGTGACAAAGGGAGCGCTAGAAGCAACGTGGTGACATCTGTAACCACGTAAAGACTTCAACAGCTTTGGTAGTGCTGGAGTTAAGATGATGAGAGGATCAAAATAAAAAGATCAAAACAGGAAGAATAAATGGTCACTCAGTAACGGTATAATAAATGAGGAAAAATAAAGACGTTTAACTGATTAAACTTGTTTGTGCGCCATGGATTGAAAATATAATGTATATTGCACCATAAATTCATTGGATTCATTGCAGAGGAATGAATAAATTAATTAGGAATTGTTGTTACTTTTTGTTGTTTCTTAATTAAGACTGTCTAAAGCTAGATTTGGTAATGTTGACCAAAAGTGCAATAAATACAGAAAATGGAGATAACACCGGCGTTGCTCAGTCTGCCAATTAAAGTAGCACCGAGTCAACAACGCCTCTTCCACATGGTGATCACTGTGACGGTAAATAAAGAACCTGGCTTTTGTCACCACTGACATCTGTCAAGTTGGCATTCTGTCAATCACTCTGGCAACACGCAATGAGTGCACGAGCAGAGCCCGGTCAGGTAGATGTCCATTCAAGAAAAAAGGATAAAAATTTGGATTAAGATGACCGAACCCCGCTTTAAGTGGAAGTATTATTTACTGAGCTGCCTGGGTAACCGTCACACCACTGTGCCAATCCGGGTGGTGCAAAATAAAATTATAAAGTGCACATTTCAGGTAAAGAGTTGGGGTTTTGTATGTCTACTTGCGAATGATTTGCCTGAAACAAATGATTTACATGTGGATGTGATTAATTTAATATACAATCATATGTTGGTATGCTGTCGTGCTGGTGGGAGTTTTTACTACAGGATGAAGGAGGGGTGCTGGATTTGTTTTCTTTGTGTTTTATGTTTTGTGAATGACATTTGTAGGACTGTCCCTTAAACAGGATCAAGTAGCTGGGTCACAACATGTAAAGCAAAAAGGAAAAGAAAGGAAGAAAGGAAGTTGATCTCACGAGAAAAAAATTGACGCCGTTAAAATGGGTTTTCGTCAACGCCATTAATAACGCGTTTAACTGACAGCACCATAAGTTAGCATTGTCGGATTCTGTGGTTCAATGGTGCAAAAGGACTGCAACTACGCTGTGTACCGTCACCAAACAACAGCGTGTGGTTTCTAAGCGCATGTTGCTTTAACACATCACACTAACAAATAGTGTTTGTTAGTGTTAATAGTGGCTTTCTAGGAATCACTGACTTAGTTCTTCTTCTCTTGCTACAAGTTTTATTAGTCCTCATGCTGCTGACCCGCTGTCTCTCATCGGTACTTGGTGTGTGAGCCCTCACTGAGGGGGGACGGTCTCTGTCTCTGTCCTCCTCTGACCACGTGACTGTGTCTCTCATCCCGCAGTTTGGCTTGTCCTTCGCTACCTTCCGCCCCGCTCTCTCTCACTCTGGCTCCACCAGGCCTCTCTCAGTCATTCTTCCTGTTCCTGAGTCCCCACCCTATATCTGCCCCCCCGGATCCAGCTCCTCCTCTCCCACTTCAAAGGTTCCTATCTGGAAGGTTTGTTTCCCCACACGCTTCCATTTCTTCAGTTGCAGCTTTACCTTCTGTTTCAGTTTAATTTTTTTCATTTTCATCACCTGATTAATTCATTCATAACCACATAGCTTTGCTTTCTTAATGTGTTCATCCTCACCTGCTGTTTGTGCACAAATTCTTTTTTATTGTTTTTTGGCCTCCCACGGCTGGTTTTTGCAATCGACCAATTGGAGATTGGCCAAAACTCAGCGAGGTGCGGGGAGCTGACCGATCAAGCTCATCAACATAAACCCATCCAGACGCCCCAAAAGGCCCCTGCCCCCCCCCCCCCCCCCCCCCCCCCCACACACACACGCAGTCTTCCACGCACAATCCCACCCCGTAAAGGTCCCCTCTCTCTGCACGCAGATAATGGGCTTCAAACTGCTGGATAGTGGACAAGTCTCTCCTGTTAATCCCACCTAGCTATTTCCTGTTCATTAATTTGGTTGGCCCTTCCAGGATTGGTCCAAAGCAGGTCAGTACGAGCAGCCGGTGGCCCCGGCGGCAGTTCAGAGGAGGAAGGAACCCCTCGATAGACTGAGGGAGAACGAGATGTCCCCGAGCTCCCAGGGGTACAGCGGGCCGTCGCACCCCGACGACGCACAGAGACACAGGATGACCCCGGCAACCATCGCTGCCAAGGTAACGGCCACAATCAGGCTGGAGGCAGAGGAAAGATGACAGTAGAACAACACAAGGGCACACATCTGACGGGTATTGGGATGGTTTGCTTATCCGACCTGCCAAGACAGCAAGGTTAATGCAGAGAATACAAAGGTGTGTTCATGGGGCCCCATAGCTTATTACAGGGGAGAGGGTTACATTCGGTAGTGTGGTAAATTGAAAATATGAATACAGGCTAGTACATTATACAAATACACCAACCCCCAGGTATCTACACTTGCGCCGCACAATGAACCCCGTCCAATTAGTATGCCTTTGTTAAGATAAACACATGCATAAACACAAGCATATATTAGACCGCTGAGGGTAGGTTTAATGAACGTAACATTAAATACAAATTAACCGTGTTTACCCCGAGAGACAAGATGGAGACGTTCAGTAATGTGTCTCGAAATTAAAACATGAACAGACTAAAGTAAGTTGACAGGCGGGAGCCGGGGACTATCTATTCCCTCTCTTATTCAGTCACCAAATAACCTAACCTGCATGTCTTCAGACTGTGGGACGAAGCTGTGGGTTACCTGGCGGTACGCAGGTAGGGGCAAAACATGCAAACTTCACATAGAAAGATGATAAATATGTTAATTGAAATGGATGGACTTTATAAAACGCAAGAGCATCTGTTAAAACACAATACAGAAGCGTTTCACATGCAAGACCTGAAAGACCTGATTCCTTTTTAACAGTGTAAACTGTGATTTATTAGCACATGTACAATATTACCTGTGCTAAAGTGCACGGGCAATATTGAAGCTAATGACATGTCTAATCCGTCCCACACGCGATCATTCAAAAGGTTTTCAAACGTCATTCCCACAGCATGGAGAAGAGGTGTCTCCGGCAGCCAGTGACCTGGCCATGGTGCTGACCAGAGGGCTGAGTATGGAGCAGCAGAAAAGCAACAGAGACTCCCTGCAGTACTCCAGTGGCTACAGCACAGAGACCACTACCCCATCCTGCTCCGAGGACACCATTCCTTCACAAGGTCAAACTCACTACAGCGCAGTTTGGACATTTGGTTTTATGCTACACTTGGCTGTAAACCGCCAGTAAAAAGAGTAGAAGAAGTGGAGAACAGTACGTCACCTAGGCTCTTTCCACGCATTTAAGGGAAAGCATGGAGAGGAGAGGTACGCAGGGATTGGTTTCATTGTCTTCTACCTTTCATCTCAGCTAATCGTCTTGGTCGTGTTCCATCCAGAGACAAGCATTTACATTCAAAACTTTTAGCTCGTGTGAGATATTTACAAGTTGTGCCTGTATAACTCTCGCCAGAATGCCTGTTTTTGGTTAACCAAAATCAGGCAACGTGATTCATCTCTAATCATCCAAGCAGCTTGCACAGTGTTTGAGAGTTCTGACAGTTTCCTTGACAACAGCTGGGCGAGATGAACAACAAGATGAAAGTAGAAATATTAGATGTTTTTGTGCCACACAGTGCTGGCTGTCAGTTTTTGACATCCTTCATCAGATTTGTTTCTATCCCTGTGTTAATCTACAAACGTGACAGTACATCATTTTACTCCTTTGCACTTTGATGGCACTTGTCTCCTTGATAACTTGTCTTTTTTCTCCCCCACATTAGGTTCGGATTATGACTGCTACTCAGTGAACGGTGATGCTGAAGGAGCAGATGGCCAGACAGAGTTTGACAAGTCTTCTACCATTCCTCGACACTCTAACATCGCCCAAAACTACCGGCGCATGATCCAGACCAAGAGGCCCGCCAGCACCGCCGGCCTACCCAGTGGGGTTCTTGGGCCCGGCGGTCATGGGATACCAGGACAACCCGGTGGAGCTGGTGGTGGTGGAGCAGGAACTCCAGGCACCGCCACCATCCGCCGAACTCCGTCGACAAAACCGGGCGTGAGGCGCACACTGTCCAGCGCTGGGCCCATTCCCATCCGACCACCCATTGTGCCCGTCAAGACACCCACCGTCCCCAGAGACTCACCCGGCGCAGCGGGTGCCTACGCTGGGGGAGGGCACTCGGGTGGTGTGCCCGTACGTGTGGGCAGCGAGGAGTGCGTGTTCTTCACCGGAGTCGATGATGGGCAGGGAGCGCTTGATTATGTGAAGGCATCACCCAAGCGCCTCAGCCTGCCTAACACCGCCTGGGGGTCCGGGGCGGCGCTAGAGGTCTACGCCCAGCAGCACGGAGGCCTCGCATTGGCAACGGGATCAGAGGAGGATCAGATGATCGCGGCCAATCGGCACAGTCTAGTGGAGAAGATCGGCGAGTTAGTGGCCAGCGCGCACGCCCTTGGAGAGGGGCAGTTTCCTTTCCCCGCCCTCCCCGATGACCCGGCCCTGCCACCAACAGGCCTCACCGACGCAGCGTCAGGCACAGAGGGGGCGGGAAGGTCCGGTGACATGTTGACCACCATCAGGAGAGGAGTCCGTCTCCGCAAGACCGTCTCCAATGACCGCTCGGCGCCGCGCATTTTGTGATTGGAGGAGAAACAACCAGAGGATGATACCCGTCAGCCAATAGGGAGTCAGGTGTTGGTGTGGTGCAACCCAACCGCCTAGTACATGCACAGACACTTACTACGTAGGGAAAGCTATAACATAACAGAAGATGAATGAAAACAAACACAAAAAAATACGTTTAAAGACACCATTAGAGTAAATGATATATAATATACTGATAATAACATTAATAATGTTAACTCATGCTGATAATTACAAGTAAAATAGTAAATATTGACAGGCTCCTAGCAGGCCACTATAACTAGTGTGTGTTGGACGCATGTTTGTCTTCTCTACACCTTCACGCAGCGACGAAAAAACTGCTGAAAGACAAATAACAGAAAAAAAAGAAAAGGCAAATGAAAGAGCGAAAGACTGGTTCCTGTTTGTCGAATAACACGCTTCCTCATCCTCTGCTCCAACTAACCCAGCTGTCTAATCCCAGATGAAAGACTGAGGACTGAAGGAGGGCCATGGGACAGGGGGGGCGGCGAGAGAAGGAGTCAGAGTGTCGTGCTATCAGCTGGATTAGAACTCTGTCTGTCTCAGCAGCAGCGTACTGTACTTATTAGTGCACTGAACTGAAGCTTTGGTATTAGCACGGGGAGCTAACAAGCCAGAGGGCTCCTCTGGTTCATCCTAATGTAAAAAAAAAAAAAAATGGTGTTGGCATTGAACCGTGCTAGTGCTACTTACGCTCTCTCTCTTTGTGTGTGTATAGCGTGTGCGTGGATTCATGTGTAGGCATATGACAATGTAAGCGCGTGTGTGTGCAAAGGGTTGGGGGGGGGCGGGTAGAGCTCTGCTGCAGGACAGCTGGTTACCCAACGAGGGCAGGGCTTTTTTTTCTCCTGTGTGTCGTATGTGTGTTTTCTTGTTCCTATCGTGACGTCATTTACCTTGTTACAAGCGTACGAGAAGTAATCCAGGCCCATAGATATATTCATATATATTTTCTAGAACCAGAGTAAAGATGTTAAATCAGAAATGGAGCAATAAACGTGTTTTATTTTCTTGTTTCCGAGAGGAGGATTGATGGAGAACCGCGAGGTTCTCCTTTGTCACATTCAGGCAATCATCAGGAATGCTAAATTACACATCAACTGTGAATTCAGGCCATGCTGGTCTTATGGCGTGAGTCTCTCCTTGTCCCTGTATTCTTTCTGGTGGAGGAAAGGAATTACAAAAATGCTGAAAAAGATAACTGAAAAGCACTTTGGAAAGTAATATAGCATGTACCACAGCCAAGGGGCTGGTAGTCAAACTGAACGATAGGGAGTGGAAGTGAGAGAGACGGAAGCTAATGGGAGGGAAGTAAATTCATGAATTCGTAGAAGAAGCAGAAGACGGGGATGGTCAAAGAGGAAGTAATGAAGACTGGTGGAATCGGAGTGATTGGTCAAAGGACAGAAGGGGAAAGAAAGTCAAAACAAGGATTGGATAACAGGAGAATAGTGCTGGACCTCGTCATCACACCTGTATCGAACACATGTTGCAACAAAAAAAATACACTGTACAAAAAGGTCAGACAGATATGTCTGCTTTAAAGGGTTGGTTGACCCAAATGCTAGACACAAAAATATTTTCTCGGTAGTATTCATCGATATCTATTCAACAGATATCTCAAAACCTGGACAGATAAAAACAAATCAATTGTAGAGATATGGTGCGCAAGAAGATATGTGTCTAGTCATTTAGGTGTTACATCACTTTAGCATTCATCAAACAGACTCCAAATATATTTGCAGAGAGTAGAAAATGTTTGTTGGATATACATAAATATACTGTGGCGTTTTCAACAGGGCTGTGGTACTGCCAATGTCCAAAAGTACTTTACGTTGCTCTCTCATGTCCATCTGCAAATACACATCAGCACGCCAGCTCATCTGCAGATAGAATCTCACCTATAAATATTGTATATTTTTGCATTATGGGTAAATTAGACCCAGATTGGCTCCAGTTAAAACCTTCATTCTTAACATCCACAATGATTTAAAGAACACCGTGAGAAAATCTTGTGTATAGGGTTATAGTTGCAATAATTGTACCATAAGAGGCAACAGTTGGGCAACAGGGGTACAGTCGGTTGGGCAGTTGTTAGCTTCCAGCTGGCAGAGGACTGGCCTTTTGTTAGGCCTTCAGTTGGAAATAGGACTTCTCTGAAGTAACGTAACCAACACATATTGAGTAACTGATTTTTCAAGTAAAATGCCCAACACTGGTACCTAAGGAGAGGTGTCCACTGAAAGGTACAAAATGTAAAACCAGAGTGTCTCCAGTCACTGAAAACAAACGTAATCAGGTTGTTTGTGAGGACAACTCGCTACCCCAGAATGGTTCAGCTCAGTGCAAAGGAAAGCTGCAATTAAGGATTGTTTGCTGAAGATGTGAGAAATGGTGAAAGCCCACAGGAGGGTTTGGGTTAGACTGCAGCTCACAGAGGGAGGGAAGTGTGTGTGTGTGGAGTAAGCGTTTCACTGCCTGTTCATGCAATATGTACTGTATGTATTGTACTTGTAAATGGGAATCCGGCGCACAGGTTTAAAAGGTTTGTTAAAAACATTACATGGAATATTCAGTTCTATTATTTCTTCTTTTTTTACTGTTTTAGTTCATGTTTTGTTATTAATGTAAAACCCTTTTTTTAATCAAAAGCAAAGCTCCAGTTGAATCCCAAACTCCTGCGTGTGTGGGGGAGAGTGAGTGTGTCCTTGTCGATATGCCTGTATGCTCTTAGCAGTGACCTGATTCCGTACTCTTACAAGCCCTTTTTCTTATTTCTGAGCTGAGGATGTTTCTTTTTAAAATGATGATGTTTCATTTAAAGAGAAAGTGAAAAACTTTCTTTTGACAGCGGGGAACTACTTTATTTGTGTGTTGTCAAATGCTTGGGTTCAATACCCCCCCCCCCTAAAAACACAACAAAAAAAACCACGTATTGACTCGGCTGAACCGTCGTCATGTCAGGAATTTATTCTTGTACCGAATGAAGTTTAGAGCAGAAGGAAAGCAATAGAGCAGCAGTGTGCACGTACGTACAATCCCAATGTTGCTCCTGGGTGGGCGTGTTAAAGGAAAATACCACTGTTTTTGTCCACTCCCGGCGGCTCAGGTTTAGATTTGGAGGCACTTTATATTTATCTGCAGAAGTTAATGCTTGAGAAAAGGGTTCATACTGCCCCACGGACGGATAACCTCTCAGGACACGTAATATCTGTGTCAAGTAAGTCAGATCACACAGCTCGCTGTAGAATGAGTGTGAAACAAGAGTAACATGCAACACTGCTATTCTCCTTAAAAATGCACAGCGTAACAGCACAAAAAAAAAGTTAAACAATAATATTATTTTTTTTTAAACATGCAGGAGTAACTCTTTCCTAACTTTCTGAACAAGCTGAACTTACGACTCTTTGCTACTCACAAAACAATCTTCTCTCCCTCTACTGAGGAAGCTGCACAGTCGTGACCAACAACTGTACAGCGTGTCCGTCTAGCACTGTAAAAAGTAACATTTGAACCGTCATCATTTTGTTTTCTATTAGCGGTCTTGTTGCCTCGCTAGGACAGTGTGGCAGCTGGTCAACATCTGGATTAGGACAAGAATGGAACATGCAGTTCTTTCATTTTACAGTCCGTCATATAAAGTAAGCACACTTGATTGGATGCTGACACTGTGTCTCCACACTTACAGCTAGCCCGACGGATTATAGTGCTGTTGAGTATTTTGTATGTATCTATATGTATATGAGCTCACACGGCCCGTAATCGTTGACAGAATTGCCAAGAGATACTTCGCTCGGCTCGACATAAAAACGGGGAAGATCATCAAGCTGGCTTTGTCCAAAGTTGAAGTGGCAATACACATGTGTTTTTCTTGCTCTGACCTATTTAAATGTTGATTACACAATGTAATTGCTATGAAACGCTGACACCATCAGCATTTAGACCGGTTCCATACACCTTGCTTTCACTATGCAATCTTGTTTGTCCTGCGTAGAGTGTCAGGAAGGAAGTGTGCCAACTATTGCTCAGCCCAAACAAGAATGAAGGAATAGAGAAAAAAGACAACGCCGACTAAAAAGCTTACGTTACTATTTAATGAACATTTGGGGAAGTCTATTGAAGTGGTGGGACGCCAGTAAGATGAGGACCTAAAAACTCAACAGCACCATCGTCCGAATAGGCCAGAGGTGAAGGCCTCAAGAATCGGCCAACCAAATTTGTGTTTCAACACTTGTGTAGGGAGGCTCTTTACCTCAGCATCCATCTCTCCTTCTCTTCTCAATCACCTTCTCCTTTGCTCACCTCCATCTGCTCGCACAGAACACCAAGGGATACCAATTAGCTGACAGGTTAGCAAACAATGCTTGTCATGATGAGAGTCCTCGGTTCTTCGTGGATTTCGGCCCATCAAAGCTGAAACATAATTCTGATCTTTTTTCACTCCAAAGTTAATATTGGCTCAGCTCTCTATTTCTGTCTGTCTCTCCTTCCCTCTCATCCCTCCTTGTGCATCTCTGTGCATCTCTGTGCATCTGTTTGCAAGGTGTGCATGTTCGCCGCGGTTCAGTTGTAGGTGTGTGGCAATGGTTAAAGGGTGGTACCATGAAGCATTAGCAGTGAGTAATCTTCTTCACTACACGGTAACATGAGTGGACTTCAAGGTCTGTCACGCCATCTCAGTGCTAGATTACATTTAAATTCATTTTGCTCAGGCTTTTTAAACATCGTTTTGTCATCATGTCAGAGGCAGCTTATGTTACTTTGAAGGTTTCTTGGTGAAGCTCTGTCAAAGGAACCTGAGGATGCAAACGTGAGCAGTTATTGTGTATATGCTGGAAACCTACTGTCCACATTCTCTAAATGTATGAATATACATTTTAACTTGTTAAATAACTGAGATGACCACGCTGGACGACCCAGTGAGGTGCCGTTGTGAGCGGTATAGGGGATTTGCATTGTACAAGCTTTAACCATCTGTCCAGGTTACAGTGAATGTGTATGGCTGCATAAATGTGTGTTGCACATGGAGAGTTGTTTAAGACCCCTAATGTTCCTCCCTCCCCCTCCCACACACAATCTGTCAGTTCTCCCTGCTGTCTAATACTGAAGAAACCCAAAACACACGCGCACACACACACACACAGACACTCGTCTGAAGCAAACATGACTTGGTGGTTTCTCCAAAGCTTCATGATGGTCCGCTAAAGTCCTCTAAGAGATTCCGACGGACGCAAGGGAAGTCATGCAGTGCGGAGAGGCCGAAGTGCCACCTAACTGAAGTGAATGTCTCGCTGTCAATACTCCACTTCTCAGTAGTGTCAGTCGCTCACTCTCCATCTCTTCTTCGTCCTGTTCGGCCGCCAAATTAACTCCACAATCACCAGTGAAGCGTTGAGATCCAAGCCATTCTGTTCAAAGGATAACATTGGGGGAAAAGATCTGCTTTACGTCTGTACAAACCGATATGTGGAGTTACCCTGCAGGCACTGTGGAGTCGTCTTTCTCTTCTCCTGTACCCTTTTCTTCTCTAATTTATTGTGACTTTAGTTCTACGGTTGTTTAGCCTCCATCGCTGATGGTAAAGTTTTCTTTTTTCTGTCTTCCTTTTGGTCAAATTTACCCTTTTTTCTGTTAACTTTAGTCACTGCTAATGTAACAAAACGCACTGTGATGATTCCAGTATTAATAAAAGTTGTACTTAAACTGTGTGCTGCCGTGTAAAGCGGGTCTTATTAATTATCAAGGAATCAGGGTTAAGGTGCTGAGTCACCGTACACACTGTACGGCAGACAAAATGTTGGAATCGTGCAAAATATGTACCAATACACCACATTCTGGTGCCAGATGGGCCGTTATTGACACACTTGGACCAGTAAACAGAAAACAGTATGTCTTGCTTGTATTTGATCAGATCAGCAGATGGGTAGAAGCCTCACCCAGCGGCAAAGGCCGACGCTGTAGCTGCGGCTAAATTCCTCACCAGAGAGGTTAAACCGAGATTTGCCATCCTTGATCAAATTAGCTCTGACAATGTCACTCGTTTTGACAATTCGGTAATGAAGAAGTTTGCACAGGCATTGACATTTAGAGGTTGGCGTACATTTATCACGCTCAATTGCAATGATTGGTGGAACGAGCAAAACAACTCTTATTTGCAAGTTATCCCAAATGGGGAGAGAAACTAGTGTTGACATGTATACATGCAGCTATGCTCAAACAGGTGAAGGAAGCTACAGACAAAAGCCCGGCCTTACAGACGAAAGCAGCACCCCAGAGGGAGGGTCTGCGTTCATCCAGCAATGTTAAGACTAAACTTATGGAATTGAGGAGTGTATGAACAGCGTCCTCGTCCAATGGGAGCTCTGCGTGCATACACTTTGTGGCCCTGTTTAAGTCTGTGATTACAGTCTCCCCTTGTCAAACATGTTCCTGTCTTTAAAGATAGAAAACATAATCCAATAACTGGACATTGTTTATCTTTAATAGGAACGGATACTACTGACAAAATGTCATTGGCTCCGATTTGTCGTGATTGTGAGTAATGAAGCTCCGGCTCGTCTGCAGGGTGTGTTAGCGCAAATCTTACTCTATTCCATGATTTATTTGGATTTACCAATTTATAACACAATTTGAATCAGAGTACTGCTCAATATTCATAAAGTATATCAATATAGCACTGACATTTTTTGGAACTTCAAAAAGATATTTCTTGTTCCCATTTATTTTGCCCGTATTTTGAGAAAAACTATATAATGTTTTGTCTCAGTCAATGTGTCAAGTAAGAGTTAAAGGTCATTTAAAAAATGTTCCTGACTATTCTGAACTTTCCTCCAATTGTTATGTTGAAGTACTGAATTGGGGCGGGCACATATAAAATTATCACCGTTTCCTTAAGCCAATCATATCATTGTCAAACTATTCTCCACTTTGCTGCAGTCAGCTGTAATTTCAGCGTGAATCAGATGCGACCCTCCTTCACCCGTCAGCGGCAAAGACACACTCCTCATAGGATGGCAGAAACTTTCTTCACCTCCACCACCTTGTCCAGGGGGAATGTGCCTTATCCGACCACAGCACCCACACCCCTGGATTTTAGTCCAACCGACAAGTCTTTGCGGGATTAATATTTCTGCATTAATAAATGAATGTTAAATTCCGATAAAGTCTCTCCTGACTTAAATGATTTCTACGGGCAGCCACTCGTTAACCTTGGAAACATCATCACGAACCTGCCCGTTTTAAGAAAGAGGCACATCCTGAGGTAATACAATACAAGAGCAGAGTACATCTTGTATTCACTGCTGCTGTTTCTCTCATAAGAGATATTGAGCTTAATGACAATTATGTCACAAGAGGTGTACCAAGCTATAAATAAGCTGGCTGATGGCAAAGCAAGTGGTTAAGGGCATATTACCGCTGAACATCTTAAATATGCTGGTACGAGGATAGCTCCTCTTCTCGCCATTTGTTTTACCGGCCTCATGACTCTTGTTACCAGACGTAATGCTGTCTGCTCTGTTGGTGCCTGTCATTAAAGGCAGAGCTGGTAAAGTACGTAGCCTAGATAATTACAGGCCCATTGCTTCTGCCAGTACTCTGTCAAAAGTTTATTCCCTTCTCAGGTAACCAGTTTGGCTTTAAAGCCAAACATGGCACTGACTTGTGTCTATATGCCTTAAAGGAAATTGTCATCAAAAGAGGTCAAAATGCATCCGTTCTCATGTGTTTAATTGCTTTTGACTGTGTCACTCATCGAAAATTGTTTGAAAAATTGCAATTTGGTCCCCAGTCCTTTTTAATTTCACAGCTAACAGTTGAAAGCCTGTAATAGTTTATAGATCAAACCTTAGTTAGTCATATTATGTATGCAGATGTAACATTTCCTGACTTCAAATTGTCTGATAATTACCTCGGTGCCTGTGATGAGGTAAAATATCTATGTTGTATGTACGCACAAGCAAACATTCTCTCACAGTGTAGTATGTGTACAGATGGAGTAAAGATGTCTGTTTAGAGCTGATTGTACATCAGTCTACACTGCACACTAGTGGTCCAATTACAAAAAAGCCAGCCTACAGATACTCCAAGTAATAATGATATAATGATGCCATTACTGAAGAGGCCGACATGGTGTAGTGCCAGTGAAATGTGGCTGCGGGAGTTACTGCTTTCCAAGCTGTTTTAAGAAATCTTATGTATACATTTGTCTTCCTGACATCTCTGAAAATGAAATCATCTTAGGTTTATCAAACATACAAGTTTAACACTTCACGCTACCAGACATTTGTACAGTGAGCTGATCATAAGGCACTTGTAGGTCTCTTGTGACCTTTTTATATTGTTATATCTTTATTTTTTACTCTATTTAATGTTTTGTGCTGTCTGGAGCTTGAATCTGAAACAAAGTTTGATTGATTGGTTGATATTCATAACTATCTGTTACATGTATTCTTACTTTATGACTCTGTTCTAATGCAAGGGTAGAAGGATGTGGTATGTGTAAAGACTCTAAAGCTCTCTGAGGCAAATTTTGTAAATTCCTATTCCAGTTCCTAAGATGTGATCCATCTTCTTAAATAATGAAGTGATGTCCGACGATTGTATCCATTAGTAACTCCCAATGAAGCATCATGCCCCAATACGATATCACCGCCTTGAGCCTTAAAATATTGCATTTTTCCTCAATGTGGCTGATTCTCCATCATAATACAGAGAGCGATTACGAACACCAGAACAGAGACGGTAAACCGGGTCGTGTCCATGTCTTAGTGGACATTACAGTTTCCTTAGATGAAATGAGGAGAGGAATGGGATAAACTAGATGTGTTTTATTGTTTGCTGCTAGGGGGTGCCCAAGCCCTTTAGCTTTGAGAAGCCTGTCTGAGGCAGATGGAACATTGATGGTACACACTGCTTTCATACAGACCATTTCCATGCAGATATCATAGAGAAACATCCAGGAGGACAAACTGACGCAAGAGAATATTTATTCTATGACTACTAAATCCAACAAAAAAAGGTTAAAGCCATCATCTGCTGAGAATCTAGCGTATTGGTAAATTTAAGCACATCCTGTCAGCCTGTCTTGATTAAACCGCACTGCCTGAGCACGGACACACATAACACATACTCCTACTTTACCAGCACGGAACCACACAAAGACTCTAATTAAGAATATGTGGGCCACATTTAATCTGTGGGAGGCATGGTTCCTTCAAAATTGCAGCTGCTTGCAAAGTTAAACGTGATGTACTTTCTTGTGTGTGTGTGTGTGTGTGTGTGTGTGTGTGTGTGTCTGTGCTCGGCTGAAACAAAAGAGAAGTGAGTGGGAGTGTGTCTCTGTCCTTCTCATCTTGGTTCTCTAATTAAATGCTGCAATGGTGTGATTCAGCAGTAGCACCACTAGTAGAAGCCTGCTGAATGATGCATTGAAAAGACTCGAGTGAATTGCAGCCCACAGACAAGGTATCATGTGAAGTTCCTCAATATTTAAACCCAGCGTAACTTTTTATTCATCCGATTTAGTCTGGTTGATACACGTTTAGCAAAGAAACACTGTTGAAGAACATGGTGATGACACGTAATGCATTTAAACTCTGTACTTCCATTGCAGAGATGAATGACTGGTTATTGTGTTTCTATGTTTCTTAATTACATGACCAGCAGCTTATTCTGAAGCTAGTGCCGTGCCAAGCAAAAGTCAGTGAGCATGCTTGGGAATATTGTTTAGGTTCAGTCAGGAGGACTATACTCTTTAATGCTTTGGCTTGAGGTTTCTTTCTCTTACATCTGCCATTCACTCATTATTTTCTTGCTCACATCGTTTGAGGCTGTCAATCACAACATCACGAGGTCTCATTTATCCAATAAGCACGAAGAAATAGAGTGTGAGGCCGTCATCTTGCTGTCTCTATTTAAAATGATTCAGTACGTTTATCCTGCTGTTAAGCACTCTCCCCATCAGCTTGGTTTCCAATTGAATTCATTACAAAGTGTTCACATTACCCTTTTCCTGTCAGTTTTGTAGGAGAATGCCGACAAACTGGCCTTGGAGCCCACAAGGCTGAAAATCCATCAGTTTCTGCCCCACCAGCTCTCCACACCTCCGGCTCCTCGTGGCAGCTCAGACGCTCCGCATTCATTCCACTCCAAGCAGCTCAGCAATCAAGGTAAAGACATTAATTAGCGTGTCTTCATTCAGATAAACCTTCGTCAGCACTTTTGGGCGCCTACCAAACAGTGACGTTGTGTCATTTTCTTGCCTGTTCAACAGGAGAAATATTGTTGTACATTGTGTATTAATGGAAGGCCCAAATGAGCCTGGTTCTACCTGAAAGGCTTGTTTGAATTGGAGATATTAGAGACACACGCAGTTAGGATGTTACTAACCCCTGTGTCTAATAAAACTTAATTCCTTACAGTCACGCCTTTTTTTCCATTTAATATCAGGCTCGCTTAGTTTATTCTTTCAGAAATTCCCAGTGTCAAAATGTAAAAAGTTTATGTATCCATCTCCATCCTTTGCCGACTAATGTTACATCACTACAAGTGGAGTTCATTTGAGACTTTTATCAGGTCTATATTGCATGGATGGATTTTAAATTCTGCAAAGGTAATACGTATTGCCTAAATGCACGGCCAATCATAACCTGCTCAGAAGTTATCCATAGCTGCAAGGTTTATGTCCTTTAGAAGGATCGATGCGGCG